CAGAAAGAGAGCAGTTGCAACCAAATAGCATGTAGGATTAGGATGAACATGGAACTGTCACTGTAGGTCCAAATAAAATGGGCTTCTTGTTTGTTGTTATAATCCCCAAATGTTTTCCTTTTCATCATCGTACCAGGGTGGAATTGAGAATTGTTACACTGTTTAATTCCACTTTAGCAGCAGCAATAGAGATAGCACACAAAAGCCCCCCCCCTCCCCCACCATGCATCCAACTACTCCATTGTGCACTTGATTGTTACCTCAGTTATTCCACAACTTGCTATAGGTCAGCTTGACTATTCGACCTATAAAGGATGAATGTAAGGATACACAAGACCACAGCACTGACCAACCTGCTACATTAATTTGAAAGGGATAGTCCATTCTACAAGTTCTGAAAAGTGAATTATGTGTGTTAATTAGTATTAAGTGTCTTAATAAATTGGTGAAGTTTGTGCAGTTTCCAGGGTGAAGTTGTTCTGCACAATCATCTCGCTATTACATTATGAAACATTACACATAGAAATCCTTTACTCTTTGACGCTTACTAGAATCCTAGTAATTGTAGTAGTACATTATAGATAAGGCATGTTGTATATAACAAAAGAGATCAAATATCCAATGAATGAATGAAACCTTGCAGCATGCAAGGTGCATTGATCTTTTAACAATGACTTTAAACGTTAATATCATTTATAAAGCCAATGTTTTCGAGTTCCATCTAGAAATCGCGGAAAGTCTTAATTTTCGGGGAGCAAGGATTAATTGATATATCTTAATACCCTTAACCCTTATTAACCCTTTTGATTCTCCCCAATTTTATAGTGTCCCATTATACAGATATGATTGTAGTATGTTTGTGCACAGGTGTCTTTGTGGACCTGGTTAAAAGGCATACATCTCTGTACACTATCTAACCCAGAGGGCTCTGGGAGAAAAGCTGCTCTTGTTAAGCTCCATGTAAATGCTGACACCTGCTGGGCATATGTTGAGACCATGAGAAAACTTTGTTCTAGATTAAAATGCTTCTCTCTTTGGAATAAACCAAAAAAGAGAATAATTTCCAAGGAGCACTCCCTGGGGAAACTGCATCAGTGTGCCAACACCCCTGGTTTTGTTTTTTTGCAGCTCCCACTTGAGGTCCTGGGTGATGATGGAGCCCAGGAAATGGAAGGAATCCACAGTGGTGACGGAGGATTCACCTAGGGTGATGGGATAGGGGGAAGGCCGATGCTCTGTTCTTCCTGAAATCCACAATCATCTCCACTGTCTTTAGAGCGTTGAGCTCCAGGTTGTTCTGGCTGCACCACGACACCAGATGGTCAGACTCCCACCTGTAGGCGGACTCATCCCCACCAGAGATCAGTCCAATGAGGGCGCTGTCATCCGCAAACTTCAGGAGCTTGACGGACTGGTGACTGGAGGTGCACCTGTTTGTGTAAAGGAAGAAGAGCAGAGGGGAAAGAACGCAGTCTTGGGGGGAACCGGTGCTGATGGTCCGGGAGGCTGAGACATGTTTCTCCAGCTTCACGTGCTGCTTCCTATCGGACAGGAAGTCTGTGATCCACTTGCAGGTGGAGTCGGGCATGTGCAGCTGGGAGAGTTTGTCCTGCAGCAGAGATGGGATGATGGTGTTGAAGGCAGAGCTGAAGTCCACAAACAGGATCCTGGCGTAGGTTCCTGGGGAGTCGAGATGCTGGAGGATGTAGTGGAGGACCATGTTGACAGCATTGTCTACAGACCTGTTGGCTCTGTAGGCGAACTGCAGGGGGTCCCGGGGGGGGGTCAGTGAGGGTCTTCAGGTGGGACAGGACTAGCCGTTCAAAAGATTTCATGACTACAGATGTCAGGGCGACGGGCCTGTCTCTCTCCAGAATAGAGAGGTCGTTGGTGGTGGGGGAGGGGAAGGTGATACAGAGGCGTGAGCCCCCGATGGGCTGGGGGTGGGGGGGTTGTTGGACTGGGGCAGGTTGTTGGAGCTGTGGGGGATGGGATCAGGACATTCAGTGTGTTTACATCATGGTATAATTCAAATATTTGCTTAGTCGGACTATGCTATCTTTCCGGGCTAGTGCTATTATCCCAATATACATGGCAGTGAATAAATCGAATCATTGGCCGAAAGCATGTCATATCCGATACGATAGGTTGCGCTGTTTTCATTACAACTAGTTCCGCCATTTCCGCTTGACCGCATCACCACTACCAACAACATCAACATTATGAGAAAGATGGCGAACGGAGAGCAAGGTGAAGCTACATCCCTCTACTATTTTTGCATGATGTTAATAGGAGTACAGCGAATGCGAATGGCGCTATTGGCTGATTTGATAACGGAGAGAAGACGCCGTCGGGATCTCAAGCATGCGCAAAGACACAAAGTCCAGTTCCTTATCCGATTCACCGTTACATGCCGCAATAGTCGAACTATCAACTGGATCGGATCGAGTTATCCAGGGGTGTTAGTCGGATCGTAGTCGGACCGCACATAGTCGGACAAAGGTCTTTACATGAAACGGATAATTTGATTTCAGTCCGACTAAGCCAGTTATTCGAATCCAAGTAACCACGCTGATTGTCTATCAAATCTGCAGTAGAACTCATTCTGCTCGTCTGCCAGGCGGAGGTGATTCATGGAGTGGGGGGTTTTGGGCTTGTAGTCAGTGAGGTGTTTGAGGCCTCTCCAAACCGAAGCAGAGTCACTTGCTGAGAACTGTTGTTGGAGAGTAAAGATGTTTAGCATCTCTCACCGCCTTGCTAAACTTGTCCCTACTGTCCCTACTCCTAAATGCCTAATCTTTCTGCAGGCGTAGTTTTATGAGTTCCGCTGTGAACCAGGGTTTGTTGTTGTTGAAACTCACCCTGGTGCATGATGGAACACAGCTGTCCTCACAGAAGCCGATGTAAGAAGTCACAGCCTCTGTGAACTCATCCAGACTTAGTAGCAGTCCTGAAACCATCCCAGTCTGTGCAGTCCAAGCACGGCCGAAGATCCTCCAGCGTCTCACTGGTCCAGTTCTCTAATTCCCTCATCACAGGTTTGCAGAGCTTTAGTTTCTGCCCGTATGCAGGAATCAAGTGGACCATGATGTGGTCAGAGTGTCCCAGTGCAGCACGAGGGACAGCGTGATAAGCCCTGCTTACTGTTGTGTAACAGTGATCCAGCGTGTTCTCCTCTCTGGTACTGTACTGGGTGAGAGTCCCCGAGGACAATAACTCCGTGAAGCACAAAACGGGGGATGTAGAAAAGTCTCTGTCTCTCCTCACCAGCAGCTGCATTTCGTCCAGTTTGTTGCACAGTGAACGCACGTTGGAGAGAAAGATGCCTGGCAGCGGTGTGCGAGAACCACGCTTGCAGAGTCTCACTAACGAGCCGGCACGCTTTCCTCTCCTACGGCGTCTCACCGCGTGATGAAAGGTGAGCGCACCTTTGACTAGAATGTCCAGTAATTCCACAGAAGATAGAAGAAAAGTTGAAAGTAATTCCGCTGGAGTTGTTCCTCGGATGTTCAAGAGCTCATCTCTGGTGAAAGAGCTCCGGGAAACAGGAGACACAATTAACAACAAAAACAACAAAAAACAAAGCGCACCGAAGCACCGTGGCAGCCATCGTCGGCGCCATCTAGGATGTTTTTGTGCTCTGTGTCCACACCCCTGAGTGTGCACAGCGGCAAACATTCTAGCTCAATACCACCAGCAGTATACTGTATCAACCCTGGTCCTGCAGACCTGGGCCTCGGTCTGTATCGTCTTCTGCCTTGGTAGGCTTCACCACGATTCGGTGAATTGCTTGTTGCCTGCTCATGGACTAACTCGCCCACCTCTCCCAGCGTACAGCACCTGATCAAGCCACGGGACGTCACACTGTCAATCTGCCTGGCCTCGGTGTCGAGCCACAAGACCTTACACTGTTGATTCATTCACCTCCTGTGTCGGACCACGGGCTCCACACATTTCCGCCCTCTCATTGGTTGAACTAAAGGCTGTATACCTGATACTGTCTCCTGTGGTGAAGCCATTGGGTCCTAACCTTGAACTACTATGACAACTTCCTTATGAACCCCTTTACGTGATCGACATTCTTGCTAACAGTGCTTTGTTACTCGACAGAATGCTAATTAGTAGCATTTCACCAACAAAATGATGGATACCAAAGGTATACGTCAATAAATATTCAGAATATCAATAAATCATCTTTAATAGCACACTTTGTGGGGCCTTAATGAAACCTGTGTGACAAAAAACTCTGGCCAGAATATCCAGTGATTGCTCACTGCTCATATATATCAAATACTGTTGAGGTGGGAAGCAATGATGGGAATGTAGAGGGAGTGTGGATTGTAGTACAAACCAAATTGAAAGCTCGTTCTGGGGACAAGAGTTGATTTGAACACAACATACATGGCATCAACACATTTACCTGGGCTGCCAGCTGGATAGTTTGAAAACTGTCATTGACATTTACAGGAATGTACAGGGAGGGACACGGAATGTGGCTAATCTCTGGACCCGGCTAAAAATGGATGGGCTTTTGGTCAACAGTTAAACCCGTCAAAGTCAAATAGATTTATTTTCCCTCTTATGATGCGTTCACACCAAAAGCGAAGCGAATTATTCGCGCGAGTAGATTCCATGCAATTAAAGTATTGTTCTTCGAATCTTTATTGTTAGAATGCTGCTTTACCAGAAATAATTCTTTTTTTTCCATTGCACCAAATTAACTGTTGTCTGTCTGGCACTTACGCATGTCATTCAGAAGCGGAGCGCCGTTTCATTAGCAGCGTGTTCAGTTTTTAATGCGTGTCACCAGTCATGATTGTCATCTTCAAACTGCATGTTAGAAGTCTAAATGAGTAGAAGGTAGAGATGATGTTGGTTTAATGATAATTTTGATTCAAAGAGGCCAAGGAAGGAGTTTGTAGTTATGTGGTTTGGCTCATATCAAAGGTCGACGGGTGAGGAGGCTGATGAAACTGCATTTATGGAATTCGGATACCTACACTTGAATGTCCACCATGATCCTCTTGTCTTCCTCAACATGGATTCCCCAGATACAGTCCTGGCCTTTTTCGTATGCTTCAGGCCAGTTAGGAGACAACACCAATCCAGCTGAGTCTGTGACCTCGCCACTGCACACAGCTGGAAGATATGCACATACACAACCATGGATATTAGGACAGGCAAGCTGGGGGTACAGTTTGTTCACCACACATCAATGTCAATGTTCAATGCCAAAAATACTTTTTAAATAATTTAATACAGTTTGGATTGACATGACGATGGAAAGCTCAGGGCCAGTGACATAGTACAACAGTGGAGGGAGGGGAGGGGGGGGGGGGGGGGGGGGGGTTGGGGGAAACAAAAATTCTCAAAACTTAAAAGTTTTTCTCGAAACCAAACTTTTTTTTGCCCCCGAAAAACATTAAAAAATTGGGGGTCCCCCTTAGTTTTCCGACAGAAAAATCTAACCAGGCTTAATAAAAAGGCCCCTAATCTGTTTCTTGGGACCTGTATATTGTAAATCAGATGAGTCACATTTTGTCAATACGGCGTACAGACCTCTGCAGGCAGGCTCTGTCTCGTTCCACTGGGGATTGTTGGAGTCAATGCATTCAATAGTGATAGATCCCTGTTCCAGGGTATAGCCAGTGTCACAGGCAAACTCCACCACAGCTCCCACTGCCCAGGTGTGGTCACTACTGGTCAGGTTACCATACTTCACGAAGGGTTCATAGCAGTGGCCTGCGGCAAAGGCTATAGTACAAAGATATTTTAAGTTGCGGAAAGGACAGAGTTTACCAAATACCAGTGGATTGCTTTCAGGCTTAAAATTCAACTTTGAAGTTACTAGCGTGAACTAATTTGAATGATAAAAGTGTTCACAAAGAATTTGTCCATTTGACGCATTTATGCAAAGGCCTTGTGGACATGAAGAGATCCGATTTTTCGTCTGACACGGTGAGGTTTTTTTTTCATTTAAGTATTATTTCAGTTATTGGATGGTTTGTTGTGAAATTTAGTTCAAACATTACGGTTCCCCTGAGGCGGATGTTAAACCGCACCACCAATCATCACCAACTTGTTAATATTCTTTATGATGTACAACTGCAGTATGACAGGTCCCCTATTCGTAAGAATCATCCATAAAATAATTTTCTCCTCTCTTTTTACAGAGTGGAATCAGCATACACGTAAATATAGATAGAAAGCATAATCAAGAAAATCCCTCCTTTCAAATTCTTAAAATAGCCAGTATGTAAATGTTGTTGGAATGAGCAGGGTAATCCACTGCATGCTTTAAAATCAATATTTAGTTCAGGACAGGAGTTTAGAAAGAGATATTTTATTTGTCTATCTACCTTACCTTGGTACCTGATGGCAATGCCTGTGGAGGTGCCTGTAGCATCTGTAGTCATCTCTGCAAAGAGATGCCTGGACATACTGAGTAGACCTTCATTGGGAAGATACTCCACCTTATATGAATCATACAGGGCAGCTGCATCGAAGTTGTTTCCATTTTTGATCAGCAACCTAAAAGAAAAGGGAATAGAGTGTAATTTGGTGGAGCTCAATACCTGGGCCATTTTGGAGTTTGGAGAAGGAATACTATGCTCATTTTGTATTTTGGGTTTCTTATTGAAGATTTTATTTTAATGTCAGAAGGCCTCCCTCGTTTTCTCCTCTGCATATGTACATTTGACTAGACTACAGGTTTGTCTACGAGCTGTGTTTCTAGATGACAGCATTGACCTGTGAATACAATGTCATTATTTAAGATAGTAATACTCAAAACCCAAACTATAGAAAATGTGAAATATGAACCCTTCCTATGATGAATCCATTCACCATAATTAATCACAACCGATTAAGGAGTCAGGCTAATAAATAATAAAATAAAAGGATATTATCCTGCTCTTGGTGTATCTGTTATACGTTTTAAACAGTCTTGTTGCCAGTTTGGCTGAGTGAACATTTTATATGAAAATACTGTTGTATTTTCATGTATGAAAATATGTACATGTGTATGAAAGTATGTACTGTAGCTATTAAATTTTCATATTTAAAATGAAATAATCAACCAAATGTCTGCCTGAAATGCATGAATACAACTGTACCTATACCTACTACCTATTTGCCTATAGCAGCTTTAAAAATAGAGTTTAAGTTCTTTACATTACATTACAGGTCATTTAGCTGACACTTTTATCCAAAGCGACTTACATTGCATTTTTAACCCATGGCTTTATACATTTTTGCCCAGGGAGCAATTAGGGGTTAGGTGTCTTGCTCAGGGACATTTCAACAGGGGACATGGAGCAGCCAGGTCTCGAACAGTCAACCTTGCGGTTCCCGGCGGTTAGGTTAGGTGCACCCTCTCTACTCCATGCGCCACTGTCGACCCTTTAACACAGTGGTCCCCAACCACCGGGCCGCGGACCGCTACCGGTCTGTGGGCCGTTTGGTACCGGGCCGCACCATAATAATATATATTTATATATATATATATATAGATTTTTTTTTTTTTCTGAAAAATGTTTTATTTTGAAAATTGACCGGCTTTTCTACTAATTATGTGCGCTCGTCCCTCTGACATATTCCCTATTCCCATCCATATGTTTACAATTGTCCTCTTACCGTGCTCGTGCACGGCAGTTTTGCCCACCAGCGAACACGACTACTACCCCTCCAGTTATTCCGCCGGACCTTCTTGACCGGTCCGCAAAATATTGTCTGACATGAAAACGGTCCGTGAGGTAAAAAAGGTTAACAGACAAAGCAGCAATAACTAGGCAATAACAGCAACAACAGAAAGTTCAAAAGTGAGGCCGAAAACAAAATAAGTTAAATGACAAGTTAAAACGTAGAGTAAGATGGAAGAAAACCTAATCAAAACAATAAAAATAATATATAATTTGATTATATTAAATAAGTTAGTAAAATAATCTAGTAAAATCAACAAATTAAATTAATGCAGTAAAGTAACATGGTTACATAAAAATCAGTCTGTAAAAAATAAGTCTTAAGTCATTAAAAGTGGTAAATTATTCATTATATATATATAAACAGCTGAGTTTGTCAAAGTTGTGTGCTATTAGTTTCATAATAGCCAACTTTTTTTAAAATACTAGTAGGCTCCAGCCCTGTCCTATACATTGGAATTTTTAATTACTCTGTTAGTAACTATTAATTCTGTAAAGTGAGGTTGAATTAAATAATCAAGATGGGAGTGTTTTTGCCGTTCACACCATAAAACCTCAACCAGTCATATAAGAGTCAAATAAGAAAAAAATGAGACACTGCTATGGTTTTCTACTCTGCTCTTGAACTCTGAACGTTGCACAAATAAGACAACCAAGTTTCCAAGATACCACAGAAAGCTGACAAACTAAAATCAGTTTTACAACTTCACTTTAAAAACTTTCAAGATGCAGAAATGCCCACAAAGGAACATCCCCCACTGCATGCAGCTAAGCTCCCATCCTTTATCAGAGGCGCCAGTTCCAGATGGAAATTAGATTGATGATACTAGGTCACATTCATTTATGTCACAAAATAAAATAATAAAAATATTTCTATATATATAGAGAACTACATTTATAGAGATCATTTGACCGCAAGGAACCTCGGCGTCACACTCGACAGCCAACTTTCCCTGACTCCCAACATCACTGCGAATTGTAGCACTTAAATTGTACTTGTAAAGCTACTCATCTACAGCAAATTGTAAATTGGCTTATTTGAGGAAATTGCACTTTCTTCTTTCTGGTTATTCTGAGTTTGTATCCCTATGGTTGAATGCTCTTATTGTAAGTTTGAATAAAAACGTCAGCTAAATGACATGTAATGTAATGTAATTTAATTTGTGAGTATATGTAATAATAGGTCTGTATGAATTGAAAAAAAACCCTGAGATTAAGATTTTCTTGAGTTCTAGTTTTTATAAAATGAGGTGCCACCCTAAACTGATTTTTATGTTAAATTCTGTTAGTAAAACGAATAGTAGCTTAGCGCGTAGGTTTGTGTACCATCATTATATTATGCTAATTTGTGGATTTATCAATCATCTTTGAGTTACAAATATGGTTACATAAATCGATTTTGAAATGACTCGAGGTAGTTTAAGAACGAGCCAAACAGGGCAGTGGGGGAGTCATAAAAATCTCTGTTAAGGAAAAATGAAAGACTAGCACCTATTTTTCAACTACTACGGCAGTTTTATTTTGTTTTGTTAAATTTTCTCCACTTTATTATTTATTTTTTATATTACTTTATAAAGTATTTGAGTGTTTTTTTAAATGAAAATCAGTGAAAACTGAAAACAATAATTCTCATTTACAGGTTTGAGTGACTACTCCAGATGACATTAGTTCAAAGAAAATATATAGTTTTACGATTTACAATCTACAACCATTATTGTCAAAAAGCTGAAGTTTTTACTTACCGATCATCATCTTCAGCCAGCGCCACCTTCTCAAAGTGGATATGGATTCTCTGGCCCTCAGGGGCCTCCAGCAGCCAATGGCAGGTAAGATTGTTGCTGTAGTTGCTGGGAAAACCAGGAGAGACGATCCGGCCAACTGTGATGTTGCTGATCAAACCACCACAAGCAGCTGGGGGGAAGAAGGACATAGTGGGAAGATAAAATACAAAATTGAATACGTTGAATGTAAACTTCAAATTCATAAGCTGATGATGAGCGCATCAGGAGCCCATATAGACCCAAATTAAACTCCGGTGTCAGTATAGACAGGGAAGTGTGGTGCGGGCACCCCTGAGGGCGCGCAAGCGGCCTCTAGGTAGTGCGCGAGAGGAAAAATGTAATTGTGGTGATATTTAATCGTAAATATATATATTTAACAAGGTGGGTTTTTACACAAAATAGCAACATGAATTCTAAAAACCCCACTACATTTTTAACATCAAACCCATACATATTTAATAAATAAATGCAATTGAGCTCCTCTTTTTACGTGCACACTAGACAACGATGCCTTTTTGGTGCAGCTAACATCAGCCCACAGCTAACTTCATTCATTCATTCAGCAACAATCGCTAACGTCCTTCTCTCCCCTCCCTCATCTCGCTGCCGCCTGAGCCCCCTGCGCTGCAAGTGAAATCCTCAAATGGACTCCCTTTTTTATTCATATCTGTTTGAGACTATACGTGTGCCAAAATGTGTTCTTTACGTGGTTTACGGTTTAGAATTAAATCATTTAAAATTCCCCTACCTCTGGCAATCAGTTGTGATTTGTAACTTCCCATTTTAATGCAATCTGCCTCTGAGCCTGTGAATGTGCCCTCGCCATCCTTATTGCTGTTTAAAAGTGACGTTTATTGAAATGTTGTTGCAGTGTTTCAGGGCATTTTCCCACCTGCAGTTTGTTTGTTTCGATTTGGGATTAATATGATACAATGTTGCAGTTTCCCTTTTGTTCGTTTTTTGTCGATTCACCAGCCATCTATATATTAGATAACAATACCACGCATGAGCAAACGGTTCTTTTATTGGTCCAATTTTATTGCAGCTATAAATAGGCTGTTTCTTTCCTTTTTACATTTTTTTTTTTAATTGGGCGGGGTTTGGAATCAGGAATCAATTATTGCCAAAATATGTCAAACATACAAGGAATTTGTCTTGGCGGTTGGTGCGTGGCAGTAGACAGTGTAACAATAGACAAGACAGCAGTGCACAAGTAATAAAATATAATAAAATGCTAATGCAATGGGTTAGTAGAATAAGGCTATGGGTTAGTATAAAATAAGATAATAAAGTTAAAAATTAAAAATATTAAAAAACAAAGTGCACTATCGAACAAGTGACAAAGTGACGAGTGACAACAAAGTAACGAGTAAAAAATTACAGTTAAAGTGACATGTGCAGTATGAAGCAGAGTGACCGAATGTTATAGTCGGACCTCAGCCTCCTGCCAGATGGAAGGGGCACAAACAGTTTTTGTCCGGGGGGGGTGGGGTCGGCCACAATCTTTTTAGCTTGCTTCAGAGACCTGGAAGCGAACAAGTCCTGCAGGGACGGCAGATTGCAGCCGATCACCCTCTCTGCAGAGGGGATGACACGCTGCAGCCTGCCCTTGTCCTTGGCTGTGGCTGCAGCGTACCAGACGGTGATGGAGGAGCAGAGGATGGACTCGATGATGGCTGTGTAAAAGTGGACCATCATCGTCTTTGGCAGGTTGAATTTCTTCAGCTGCCTCAGGAAGAACAACCTCTGCTGAGCCTTCTTGGTGATGGAGCTGATGTTCAGCTCCCACTTGAGGTCCTGGGTGATGATGGAGCCCAGGAAACGGAAGGAATCCACAATAGTGTCGGGGTCGGTGAGGGACTTCAGGTGGGTCAGGACTAGCCGTTGAAAAGACTTCATGACTACAGAGGTCAGGGCGACCGGCCTGTAGTCATTGAGTCCTGTGATCCTGGGCTTCTTGGGAACAGGGATGATGGTGGAGGCCTTGAAGCAGGCTGGTACGTGGCATGTCTCCAGGGAGATGTTGAAGATGTCAGTGAACACCGGGAACCGCTGGTATAGACAAACAAAGTAAACCAGCCCAGAAAGGACATAGCTGCTGTTCTTTTTTCATGATAGCAACAGAAAGTACTGTAAAATCTTGTTAAAATATTTTTATCAAAGGAAATGATACATAAATATAATCTCCAAAACTCCATATATTGCACATGGTGAATTCCTATAATGTACATTTCCACACCACTTATGTCATACTAACCATTCTGCTGCTCCTAATTTCTACTGTTCTGCTGTTTCTGACCGACAGGTCATTATGTTGTTTCTGATGGTTGCTAAATAAAGACCTTTGAATAAAGACATAAAGACCTTTGATCAAGTAGAACAACGAAATAATAAAAACTGTATTTGTTAGAAAGAACTCTGACACTACATCAACATTTTTTTTATGACACCACAGAGCTGTATACGAGTGTGTGAGAAAAGTGAGAAAGATATCAACACTCCATCTAGAGCTATGGAAAGGCGCGTATATGCGTGTTTTGTATCCCAGCTGATCAGGTCAAGGTTACTCATGCAGAGTAAGCTTAATGGAAGCAGATCAGGAGGAATGAACCCTGTGGCATCCTGCACAGCCTTCAGTAATCACACCTCAATACAACTTTATGCTCCGACATGCGCGCACACACACACACACACAAACACAAACAAGATGGAATGGATACAGATGAACAAACTGTGTATGGAATTGCAAGGACCTAAATGCCCAACAGATAGCTCTTGGTGCAGGTTTTCTGAAAAAATAAGGTAAGGTGCTGTGATTGTTCAAAGGCTGGCAGGGGAACTGAAACTGAAACTTATAAGTTAGTAAGACATTTTTTATGTACTGTAACTCACGGAAGGTTAACAGTATTCAGTAATAAAATTCAAATAAAATTTAGTTTGTTTTAATTGTAATACTGACACTGTAAATATATCACAATTTATGAATATGTTTCTGTTAAAAATGATTAAACTTTATACCAGATATAATTATATTAGATATTTCAGATGAACAACAAGCCACTATAATTGAGGCTGAGAAAATGAAGCATGAGTTGTGATTCTGATTCCGCCTGGTTTAGGGCAACGGTGGCGCATGTAGAGAGGGTATGCCAGGAACCGCAAGGTTGGCGGTTTGAATCCTGGCTACCCCATGTCCGATATTGAGGTGTCCCTGAGCAAGACACCAAACCCCTAATTGCTCCCTGGGCAAAATGTAAAAACCATGGGTTAAAAATGCAAGTTGCTTTGGATAAAAGCATCAGCTATGGGGGCTCACCTAGGCAGTGTGATTCCTTGCCACTCCAGTAGGGGGTGCTAGCATTGAGGCAGGTTCGCACACTGGAGCCTTGCAGCTGGTAGCCTGTTAGGCAGGAAAAGAAAGCCTCCCCTCCAGAGTGGAGACTGCTCACTGATACTTCCCCATAGAGAGGTTTTTGGGGGAAGACACAGCTCAACACATATTCTGCAGAGACAGAGGAATAAAATGAAGGGATTTAAGACAGAAACTGAGAAAGAGAATGAGACACAAAGCTGAAAGAGAGAAATCTTAGCATGTGCTCAGAAGTTGAAAAAGGGAGGTTAGATTAAACTAAGTGTGTGTTACTTCTTACTTTTTTCTTACTAAAAAAAGAGTTTACCGGTAGAAAAAAAAACCCTATTCTGTCTGCGTTTGGGTTTTTAAAAAAATGTCCTTCTGGGGAGGGAGGGCATATTCTCTTTGAACTGCTGGAAGCCTCTCATTGTTAAACAACTGCACAATAAGCCTTGTTTCATTACTGGCAGCATAACGGCAGTTGGAAAGGTCAGAAAGTATGAGAATATCTTTTTTCCTAAATACTACAAACTTCTTTACGATATTTTAATATTTAATCATCCCTTTCTCTTTTAAATATTTGAAAATCCTATTGGTAAAAGTACAATTTGATAATTAAACACAAACAATATTGTTATTAATTAAGAATTGAGTTCAGGGTCATGCCCTTATTAATGATTTCACAGCTAGTGCGTATGGTGTCTAGACCATTTTAGGTTTTATCATACTCTGAAGTTTGGATTCTAATATTGTATTATAGGAATCCTAAGGCCCTAACTTTCCAGTAAAAAATGATCAGAATTATCTGTTTAAACAACTTAAAAGAACAAATATTCCATGGTAAATATACAGCAACACCACCACAGTGACATTTGGTGTCCCAGTGTCCCCATTAATATTAATAATACATTTCTCCTAACAGGACGAAGGAGCCGTTGACACTGTGGAATAGACAGGATTCACTAGCCCAGCGTGGGAGAACTATTTCTGTTGGAAGTTGGCCCAAGGAATCGTTATTTTGACCTTGTTATTAAAAGGACACTGTTTGTTTTACACTGACTGCCTCTGAGCCTCTTGTTTTATGCCTGAATCTGGCCTCCCTTCCCTCGGGTTGCCACAAGGCCAATAAATGACAACCTTGGCCGCCTAACACTCAGCTGAGGGATGTTTTCCGGCTATCTATGTCTCAAGGAAATGGAGATAAGAGAATTTGGTCTAGTATTTCTCATTAGAGCATCATTGCAGACTAGTCCAGCCATGCAGCAGCTGTTAGAGCTGTGTCCTGTTACTCCCTAAGCTGGTCATTAACATGGTCGGCTGCAGCTATTCATATTCAGCCAACTAAAAACTATGAAGCTCATAGGCTGACTGCAGTCTAGAAAATGGATAAAAGAGCCATCATGGAAGCATTGTGCTATCAGGGAGCTTTTCACTGAGACAAATTTCTGTGCAGCAGTAAAATGCATGCTGAATGCTACATCAATTTGTCTTTGTTATGACTGAGCGTCATATTGATAGAAGGAGCAGGGGGGGTGTCCCTGTTCTCTCTTTTTGTGCTCTGCTTGTGATGCTACTAGGGTGGGGCTTAAGACATAGCCGGTTAAGGCCGGCAGGGTCGCTCTGTTCTCCCCAGCTCCCAACCAGGTTGTGCTGTTTCTATTGTGATGTTTTAGACAAAGTTGAACAGTTCGGGTAACGGTAAGGATGAGAAACCTTTTTCCCCCTGTTATGGTTAGGGAGTTAAGTAAGTATCTTCTACTTTTGTTTTATTTGGGGGGTTGGGGGGGCAAGATTATTTTATAAACATTGTTTTGTTTATTGTTTTGCGCCACGCTTATTCTTACCCCGTAAAATAAACCATTGTTGTAAACCATCTTAATTGGGGAGTGGGTGGACAAAAGGAGCGTCACGGATAGGTTGCACTCGGGTTTCCCTAGACGTAGCAGTCTTGTCTTCGTAGACCTTAAGGCTATACATCATGGTTTGGTTGTAATAAAAGGTAATTGATAATCAATAACAATCAATACGTTTTAGAATTTGTTCAGCCTAATTTAGATTCCCATGTATAGATAGATATACTTATCCAATTAACCTCCACCTGGATATTTAGGTTTTCTTTTGGTTTTTGAAATAACTGTACAGAGCAGACAGATATGAACTGCAGGTAATGAAATGTAAAAATTATTCCAGAACAACCAATTTGGCAATATCAAGATAGTCAGCCGGGAGAAGGGTAGTAGGCTTACCACTGTCCGACCCCACAGGTGTGCTTTCATGCTTGAATACTAGGGGTGTAACGATTCATTCACTGAATTGATTAATCGATTTATATTCCTGCGATCCAACTGAATCGATCTGTGCTCCGCAAATCGGCATTCCGGACGATATATATCGATTACAAATCTATTGAAATGGTACATAATCGATTGTATCGATACTTGGAAACTGCACATTGGATTTAAGTACAAAAACGGTATGGATGTGTGTTTGTTTGTTTGTTTTTTAGCACTTTAGACACTTTACACGTTACTCAATTCAGTCTGCCTGTCTGTGACGTCATGAGTACGCAGCGGCAGCCGAGCGAAACTCTGAACAACAACAAAACACAGCGTGGAGGAGACGACTGCGAGCGAGACATTTACAAACCAACTTATCGATCCAGCGTGTGGAAACATTTTGGCTTTTGCAAACACAGAGGTGTTCTAAATAAGTCGGTCGCTGTTTGTAGAATATGTAGAAGCCAAATAAAAAAACACGGAAACACAACGAATCTTTCCAGCCATCTACTAAGGCGCCATGGAATTAAACAACGCCGACAGTCAGGACCTCTAGCAGCGTTACCGCTGCAGCAGCAGCAGAAGGTAACTCCAGCTCTGCAGACACCTCAGGCCTCGCCAGCACGAAACTCAACATCACAGTAACAATTGCCAAGTTTATCTGTAAAGACATGCGACCCTATAATGTGGTTGAAAATCCGGGGTTCTGTGAATTGATCCAAACATTGTGTAATTATTGTGTAATGTTTACATTGAAAATTGCACTTGATTCAAATAAAAGGTTAATACATTTGCCATTAATTGTTGTTTGCTTGTTTATAATATCCATAATTAATTTAAACCTGATTTCCTTACAAGAAACAACAGGGATCTCAGAAACGTTTCTTGCCCAAGGATAGCATTGCCAATTTTCTGATTAAAGGACAAACATGCTCTCCACTCACTCACCAACAGTTGCCAAGAGGTGACGTATTGGATATGTACAGAATGCCGTTGTCCCAATAACAAAATCTTAATTGCAATTAGTATATTATGTAGTTATAGTAAATAGTATAGTATATTATATGATATTAGTGGGGGAAATTACCTGACAGTGAAGGTAAATACTCTCACAGTTCTGGGCAATTCTTAAAATGCTTCCTTACCCTTTTTGGCTGTTAACTCACAGTCTGGAATGGAGAGCAGTGATTTGCCAGTGGATCGGAAGGTATCCATCGGAAATTCTTGTGATAGGGTCGAACATTGCTATATTGAACATTGGTATCTTTTAATACCTATATAGCAACTACTGGTTACTGTTGGAGGGAAATTGCGGTTATAGTTTATTTTTCTCAAAAAGATAACTGTAGTTCTCTGAAATTACATAAACATGTTTTTGTGAATGGCAGCTAGGTCAAGGTAAATGTGGAAAATGCTGCTTCTTCCTTGTAGGCATTCTCCAAAAAGCTTAGATAGAAAAACGGAAGATGTATTATATCTCCACAGATGCCATATTTGACCCATCTGTTCATCAGCTCATATAGGATTATGAGGATTAGGGAAATATTCAAATAGTAGTTTATCTTTAACGTCTTTGGTGCAGGCTTTTTAGATCAAAGCTCTCTTTGTATGTTGGCATTTCTGTGTTGCTTTGGGATTAGCAGAGGAAGGGCTGCTGTGTTATGGTACTCTTACCCCTCCGCAGTCTTCCAGCCCTGCTCGGTTTTCCTTCCTCATCCCGTCACAAGCTAGTGCCCAAGGCTTTTGGTCAACCGTTGGATCTCCAGCACAATCCAGAACAATAAGTAATGGCTTTTCCAGTTGTACAATTGTAATGTCAGATGATGTATATGTGTTTAGGGCTAATGTTTTCACAGAAAACACACCAGAGTACAATCTTGTTTTTTTTTTTTTTAAATCTATAAAATCGGTTATCAAACCTAAAAATATTTTTTCCTGAAAGAAGATCAGGAAGGAATCTCAAAGCCAGACCCAGATGAACATTTTGTTATGGCACATCCCTCACTTGTCATTTTGCAGATGTTTCCACTTGTTTTTGTTATTTTTGTAGCTTTTTTGTATTGAATAAACCAGTAATGACCGCATGAACCCATCTCAGCATTGGTAATATACATATTGTAGGCCCAAAATATTACGGTTTTAATCAAGTCAGAGTACAGCCAGAGTTGACATACATAGAAGTTGTCAATCAAGGCTACCCAAAGAACTTTGAATTACATAAGAGGGGACACCTGTACCCTCCTCCTCAGGGGAGGGGGGTTGGATCAGCTCCCCACTGGACACCTCCACATCAAAGAGAGCTCTCTCATGTCGTTCATGATTGTAGGAGATGTAAGCGGACACTTTGTTTACAATAAAACTTTACAACACGAGATACTCTCCTGAGGGTTATTGCATGAAACAGGATACGGGATTAAGCCGGGATATTCAGGTTATCCTGGATGAATTTAGCTTTGACTTGGTTGCACGAAAGCAGGTTGAATACCCAGCCAAGTAACCATGGTGATTTATTCTTTGCAGCTAGCCTGTTCTAGGCCAGGCTAACAGCCAGGGTAAGATTAATCCTGGAGGCTCATATGTTAAATCAGTTCATCTGAAAAAAACGTGTTTAACAGTTCTGTTGTCTTCTGAATGTGTTCTGATTTATTTTTATTAACATGCATGTCACATGCTTGTCACTAACATGCTTGTTAAACACATTGAACTGTGGGTGGACTGGGTGGTAGTAGTCGGCCCCTCGCTGTCCATTGGTGGGTGAAAACTGCGCAGTGAGGAGTGAACAATTGTAAATGTGATGAGGGCGATATATAAAGTCCAATTCACCTGTGTTTCTTCCTGCACCATGATGTCCATTTCTGAACGACGTTTTGGATG